TTTGAATGCAACCATTTCCTGAGACGGCAGGTTTAACTGCTTTTTTGGCATACAAAAAGTAGGATGTGCTGAGGAAGGAGATCCTGTAATTATGCAGGCCAAAAATATATGAGCAGTAAAAAAAAAAAAGTGATAAAATAATAATGTTACAGCTTTACATAAAAGAAATGGTAAAAATATAATTCTCTTTTCAAAAGATAATAAACGTATTCAAGGAAATTTACTAAAATATTATGTAGGTGATTTTTTTTTATCATTTAATTCTATAAAGGTTTAGCAAATATTTAAGAAATAAAAATTAAATGCAGTTAGAAATTATATTAAAATATGTTAAATTTCTTCCATTTTTTTTATATCATACAGATTAAAAGTTTTAAGCCTCAACTTTGGTCAAAACTTATTTTATTTTGAATAGAACATCAAAGGGTTAGAAGCTCTGTCAGGTTTCTAAGCCAGCGAAGGCTTCATAAACGGACATCACCTCAATTACAGGATATTAATTCTCCATCCAGACTCTAAGGATTGTAAAAAGTAATTTAAGCCTGATAAAATGAAAAATTAAAAGCCCCAGAAACATTTGCTACCTATAAACCATTCCTGTACTATAAGAAGTGTGGTGCTTCTCTTCTTAATATTCCTCAAGGAACTCCTATTATTCCACTATTACAGTGGTAGTAAACTGTAGAGGACAAGTCAGCACAATTTCAATCAATCAGCATATTCTTGAAAGTATAAACCACTTTAAAGGGTAACTCCACTTTGATGAAAACAAATATATAACCAAAAAATATAGCATATGCAAGTGCTACAAAAAAGTCATATTGTTATTTCATGTTATTAAAAATGACCTTTCCTTTACAACCTGCATCCGTTTGGTTTTTTTTTATTCCATGCAATATGGCAACCTGAAGGCGTTCTATGCACTGTTGGTATACAGAAGTTTCCCAGAAATGTAATTTCCTGCTTGTGTGATTGGCTTGCTGATCTTCCTAGTAGTCAGCACTAAAATACAAGTCAGATTTTAAGCATCCCCTGCAATATAAGTTTTAGTTTTGGAGATATACTCCTCAGGGGTAAATATTTCTAAGGGTCCATGTACACGGGACATTTGGAAAACTCTTCTGAACGATGGAAAACTGACTGCTGGAAAACGTAGGTCAAAAACCGTCAGTTTAGCCGCGTTTGCATACCGTGTTTATGAGCATTTGAAAATTGTATACTTCAATATATTCTGTTATATGTATATGCATATTAGTTTTTATTTCATTTTTTAGCGCTGCACTTTTTTTCAAATGTTCTTTTGAGAATCGCTGTTGGTTGTCCTGTGTACCTAGCTGCTTTATGTGTAAAGAGCTCACTTATTTCACTTATTCCGTGTTTATGAGCGTTTGCGTTTAGAAGCGTTTTTTTAAAGATAACCTCAGGAGACCTTCCAAAATGCCCAAATGCACTGAAAAACAGTAAAAAAAAAAAATTACCTATTTCAGACATTTTGAGAGAAATAGAGAAATTTTTTCCTTCACACACAAAACCTGGAACTGACTGCGCTGTTGTACCGGGTCTATTTGAATACATGGAAAACACTTTGCATGCATTTCCGATAATGAAAAAAGGCTCTGGACAGCATTTGGATATGGAACAGTTAAAAACGCTTCTAAACGCAAATGCTTATAAACACGGATAGCCGCGTTTACAAGCGTTTGGTGTTTGAAACGCTGATAAAAATCTACTCCTGAACGCAAGTTTGGTGCGTTCAAAAAAAACTATTGTAAACAACTGCCTGTAAACAACTGTAAATGACATAGTGTACATTGACACATTAGGGAGAGTTCAGGGGCTGCTGAAAAAAAAAAAAAAAAAAAAAAAAAAAAAAACACAGAAAAGCCCCCAAATGTGAGTTTATCAGCTGCAGTGTACATGGAGCCTAAAGGTATACAGACCCTGCAGCTTTCCTCATCACAATGGTAAGAGTGCACCAGGTGAATATAATAAACCAGACCCTCCCATTCAGAATCAGTATACAAATCAGACAGGTAGGAATCTGCAGCAGAAGTGTTAACATCCTTGTAATGGACATTGATGACCCTGAAGCGATTTTTTTTTCTCAACAAAAGTGGAGTAAAGCAGGCCATACATGGGTCCAATTCTGAATGATTTTTCGATCAAAAAAGTCGTTCGCTCTGTAATCCGATGGCGCCACCAATGCTTTTGAAAATCGGTCGTTTTTTCACAAATTTTCCAACATGCCCGATAAACTAAATGGGGAGGAAACACGAAAATTGGCCGGTGCCATCGCCCCAATAACAGAGCAAAAATCGGTCGATTCTTCTTATTTATTCTTGGGTCCGATTTTCGAATGAAAAAATCCTTCGGAAATCAACCCATGTATGGCCGGCCTTACTCTTTAACGACCCAACTACAGCCCCTGAAGAAATCATGTGCATGCATGCTTTTTTTTCAGGCCCTGTGCACATTAAATGATTCTGAATCATGGGCAGAAACACCACTATTCTGCCCGCAATTCCAAATCTCGGCAAAACGAGCGACACACATTTGGGTGCCATTATTCTTAATTGCACCCTAAACGCGGTGCGATTCTGCCAGGATTGTTGAGCGTTTAAAAATCGCACTAAGCTAGCCGCCTAAAAGGAAGCAGGAGCCTCTTTAGGGTGACTAACATACATAGGGCAGCTTATTGAAGTGAATAGGCCGCCCTATGCGTGACATGTGGATACCTAAACTCTTGTAAAAGCGTTACACACTGACAAGCTTCAAGCGTTTTTTTTTTCTGCCAAAACTGCAGCCAAGAGGAGCAGCGTTTTTAAAATGTCCTGTGTGAGGCCTACATGAAAACAAAGCTCACAAAGCCTGCATTTGAGTTCCTTATTCCAGTGGTCATTATCCTGGTGAGCTTGTAACTGAATTCCCTGTCTTATGAAGGAGACGTATTTTGGATTGTAATGAAAATATGAAGAGGTTTTCATGGTCTTCTGCCCTTTCAATTGATATACCAGCACAGCATTCCCTGACAGCACTTCGCTTGAGGAGCAGAAAGAAATCTATTCAGCTGTGCTGTCTGGTGGTAGGACCTTGACGTTTGAAGCACATTCAGCAAAATGAAATATATATGTAGGAAAACACGACCTGGCGGAGTCCCTGGAGAGGGGTCTACTTTCTTATCAGCAACTTCGCCAAGTCAGAATGAAGAGCCTTTAGGGGTTTAACTAGAAATTATTAGGCATCCCAGCAATATGACACCACTGGCACTTCGACAAACCCACCAATATGACGCCACTGGTGCTCCGACAAGCCCGCCGATATGACTCCACCGGCGTGTCCTCAAACCCACCAATATGACGCCATCGGCGTTTCGACAAGCCCACCGATATGACTCCACCGGCGTGTCCACAAACCCACCAATATGACACCATCGGCGCTTCGACAAACCCACCAATATGACACCATCGGCGCTTCGACAAGCCCACCGATATGTCTCCACCGGCGCGTCCACAAACCAATATGACACCACTGGCGCTTCGGCAAACCCACCGATATGACTCCACCGACGCGTCAACAAACCCACCGATATGACGCCACCGGCGGTTCAACAAACCCACCGATATGACGTCACCGGCGGTTCAACAAACCCACCGATATGACGCCACCCCACCGGCGGTTCAACAAACCCACCAATATGACGCCACCGGCGGTTCAACAAACCCACCAATATGATGCCACCGGCGCTTCAACAAACCCACCAATATGATGCCACCGGCGCTTCAACAAACCCACCAATATGATGCCACCGGCGCTTTCAACAAACCCACCAATATGATGCCACCGGCGCTTCAACAAACCCACCAATATGATGCTACACCGGCGCTTCAACAAACCCACCAATATGATGCCACCGGCGCTTCAACAAACCCACCAACATGATGCCACCAGCACTTCCACAAACCCACCAACCTGATGCCACCAGCACTTCCACAAACCCACCAACCTGATGCCACCAGCACTTCCACAAACCCACCAAAATGATGCCACCAGCACTTCCACAAACCCACCAATATGATGCCACCAGCGCTTCAACAAATCCATCAATATGACGCCACCAGCACTTTGACAAACCCACCAATATGACACCAACGGCACTTTCAGAAACCCACCGACTGCAGAGAGCTTTTCATGGAACAATATCCAATCCACAATCTGTTTTCTCCTGGTGACACCAAGACAAAGCCGTTTCTCAAAATTATCGAACAACAGGTTTGTTCGATAACGGGCAGTGGTGACAGCAGCCAATTGCGCAAATTAGCTCTTCAAACTGAACACCAATCCGACATGAACACAAAGGGGTGTATTTATAAAAAAAAATAATCTGCATAACCATTCGCTCAATGAAAGTGTATGTACATTCGTTTGTTGCTAATACAAGCAAAAAAAATGAATGTTATTAGGCTAGTACTTATGGTGGACGAATGTTTTTCATTAAAGTGGTATTAAACCCCAAAGCAAAAATGGAATACAATGCATATTACCAGTCATTAGATGGGGGGGAAAAAATCTGCGTTCTTGGTCAGTATTTTGCGCCGGTACACACGAGCATAAATATTCATGCATTTTGAATACGAATATATTATACGCGCGAATGTGAATACATGCAAGTATGCACAAGAATGCACTTAAATATGTGCAAATGCAAGCAAAAACAAATGCCTGAAATTACATCCAGAAATTCTGAGGCTCAACTATCAGTACCACATGCAAGAGGCCTAATACTACACTACTTTAAAGTGCTACTAAACCCACAGCAGTAAAATCAGTCTGTATATGCAGTAAAGCATGCTTGTTATACTCACTGTGGAACCTAAGGGGTTAATCCTCAGCACTGTGCAAAAAGGCCGTTTGATCCTGTCTTTTCTGCTCCTCCTCTTGTTCAAATGTTCACAACTTCAAGACAGACTGAACCATAGCCATTCTGCACATGCTCAGTTTAGTGTGTATTGCTAGATTTTTTTTTTTCTTGGGAGAGTGCATATGATCAGCACAGGGCCAATCCGTACTGTACAGACAGAGGTCAGGGGTTCTGCATTCTTCTAGAGCAAAATGAAAACTCCTCCTACAAGCTTTAACCAGTGCTCTGAACACTGGTATAAGTCACAACACTGCTATTTAGCAGTTTATATTTACTAAAATAATTGCATTTCTATGCAGGGTCCGGGGATACCAGATATAGTGAATGCAGGGTCCGGGGAGAGCAGATATAGTGAATGCAGGGTCCGGGAGAGCAGATATAGTGAATGCCGGGTCCGGGGAGAGCAGATATAGTGAATGCCGGGTCCGGGGAGAGCAGATATAGTGAATGCCGGGTCCGGGGAGACCAGATATAGTGAATGCCGGGTCCGGGGAGACCAGATATAGTGAATGCCGGGTCCGGGGAGACCAGATATAGTGAATGCCGGGTCCGGGGAGACCAGATACAGTGAATGCCGGGTCCGGGGAGACCAGATACAGTGAATGTAGGGTCCGGGGAGAGCAGATATAGTGAATGCAGGGTCCGGGGAGAGCAGATATAGTGAATGCCGGGTCCGGGGAGACCAGATATAGTGAATGTCGGGTCCGGGGAGACCAGATATAGTGAATGCCGGGTCCGGGGAGACCAGATATAGTGAATGCCGGGTCCGGGGAGACCAGATATAGTGAATGCAGGGTCCTGGGTTTGATAACACTTTAATTTAAAATGGGAAATACAGCATTTGGCCACTAGATGGCAAATTATAAGAATATATGAAACTTGGCGCCATCCAGTGTCCAAATGTGTTATTAAATCAATAAGAAAAAAAAACAACATTTGTCCAGCACAGGAAAAAGCTTTAATAACATTTGTATTCGCACAGATCAAATGTGCATGTACGGTCACTTGGTAAAATTTTTTTAAATAGACCCCATAGTGTAATTCATTACATAAGCACAAATATATACATACATACACACAAACACACACACATACATTTTATTTTTTTTAATCAAAGAGCTAAATAATGTGTTCTTTTCCATACAGTAATAAAGAACAGGTGCCACAAAATGGGGGCTTGTTCTTTATTTAAACTGGATTTTCGGTATATGGGATTTACAACAGCTTTTTTTCTTTTTTTGTTAACCGTCAGACCACATAACAAAATTAAATTATGTGACTGTTAGAAGCCAAGTTCACGGTGTTCAAGGAACAGTGTAGCCAAACTGCATTTTGAATTGTTGAATACGAACATTTCATGGCACAGATTAATTTGTGTGAGTTTTGTCAATTCCCCCGTTGGGATATTTTTTTATTTTTTAACTCAGAAGGGACAATGAAGACTAAAAGTCCAAACTTGGCCATGAATTCCCCAGTGTCTTCTGGAAGGAACAAACGAGTTATCAGTTATTAGAGACCCACCAGGATGTGATAATTGCTCTCTCTCAAATTTCACAAATTAATAAGCCCTTTGCACCTCTAGAGAATATTAACAAGTTTATTGAAACTTTGAAAGTAAAGTTAAACTTGGCAGAGTAATTCTAGATTATCAATTCTAAAAAGGAAATGTATATGACGCCTTTATATTGCAGATGCCGTATGTTGGTCATGCATGGACACAGATACCAGGATAGGAAGGGAGGCATCTCCCAAAGCAACAGAAACCGGCTGATAAAGCTTCCAGTCTTCCCTGCCTCCGTCCAGCACCACTCTAAGGGCACATTTCCACCTGCATCACTCTTGCATCATTTCTAAGAGAGTGGTACAGGCACATTCTGCAGCCGATATTGCTGCCACTGAATGGATTTTTTTTTTTTTTTTTTTTTTTACGGGAAACACTTGGCTTAACCACTTAATTTTAGAAATGTCTTGCAGTTGTTGCTGAAATTTATGCATGAAGTGGTAGAAAAAGGCTACAGGAGATCAGCAAAAAAACTCAGTGAAACTTTTTATTTTGAAAGTGGCAACTCTTCATAATACATCATGCTTCAGCAAACTAAATGTCATCCAGTTAGGGTTTAGATCTAACATTTCCTAGACTGAAGCTACGAATCAATCATAAATTCACTCATTAGGTTCTCCATGATTGCTATCTCTATTCCTGGGTCCTCATATAATCCACATTAAAAATACTCTGTTGGTCCATTTTAGTCTAACCTGAGAACCATCCGGGAAATTGTCACATCAGACTCGTGCAGATAAAATATCCCAGGCAGATCAATAGTATTGGTTTCACATGATCTGCTCCAGACAAAAGGAATATTTGAGATGTGCACAGAGATTGATTAATCCGCACAAATCCATTGCAGGATTCAGTTTTAAGACTTTAACTGGATATTAAACCTCAGGCCAGTTTTCCTTCTCGTTTACGACAGATATTTCACAGCAAGATCTATGTACATGAATACATGGTCACACAACTAGCATAAAAGTCCAAGAGGAAGTGGAACCCATTGTTGGGGAACTAGGGGTTGTACCCTAACATGCTGGGAAATATAGTCCCCCAAAACATGCAGAGGATCAGGTGAACTATAACATGGCACGGGGCTCAGGCACAAACATATCATACATAAAAAAAATAGGTGCAGTGCTAAAAAAAAATTTATACATAAAACATTATTTAAGAAGGAGGAGCCGTACGCCGTGACGTCACGTTGCCGGAGCCTCACGAAGGTCCGGCGGCTATCTTAGAGAGTGGCTGGTCAGTCTCATTGATTTTAAACTCTGCTTTTGTTGCTTTTTCTCCACGTGGATGATATACGGTTTTATACCATGAATCTGATTTAATTACTACACTATGTAAACCTTCTTTCTTGGCTCTGAATCGAGCTAAACAATTCCCAGGATTCTATCCGGAGAACAGTTGCACAGCAGTCCCAGATCCAGAGGAGGGAGTCTCTTCCTATGCTGCTAGTCTGGTCCACATTAAAGGGGGCTTCCTGCAGACCTTACAATCATATGATTCAACATATTGCGCTTTTACTATGCGCATCTGGTGAGTGCGCATTTTTATCATATCCCCTGCACAAATTAAAGTCACATGGATTAAGGTCACACAAAAAATCCTTTGCTATCACCTGTGCAACAGGATCTTTATGCGGCACAATTCTTTGACCGGTGTCTGTCAGACCTTCATTATATGAACATTTTTTGTCTGATTATTGACTTTCGCAGTTGCATGTATTTATCTGTGCTCATTATAGCGAGGCACTTTCGATTTATGGACTTGTGTTTATTAATTTGAACCACCATTTTTAAAATCTTATATACTAATTCTTTTAGCGCTGCACCTATTTTTTTATGTATGTTATATAAGGTCTTCGGGTTCCTTTTTAGTGCATATGGTCTCCCTGCTATAACTCCCAACTCTGGTCCTGCCTAAAGCAAGCCATAGGTAATTCCATTTTTTGCTGCAACCTGTGCCTCATTCGATTCCCCCCCATCAACACAGTGTTGATGGGGAATCACTCACGCAGCTCTATTGTCATCTGCCAGCTATAGCTGCAGACAGTGTATGCATAAATAAAATCCAACATGCTGGTTGAAATGAAGCAGATCAATGGATCGACTTCAATACAACAAGCCTGCCCATAGATAAATCGAATCTGAGCAGGTCCCTGCAGAAATGGCCATGATTCAATCCATCTATGGCTGGCTTAACCTTGCGTATTTCAGCTCTTCATTTTACATTCTCCGTAGTAAAAAACAAAAATGCAAAAAGACAAAAATGGGAATACCCCACTATGGCCCCAGCAGATGTGCAGACCCCAGTACCAAACCAAGAGATTCCCATAGAGATATTAAAAATAATGCCAGGTGGTTTCAATTTCTAGCAACACTAGAATAAGTTTCCAATTTTATTTTAATATAGAATTTTAATTATACAATCACACATGGGTAGTTTGCTCTTTACATATGCAGCCTCTTCTTCCTTTTAGTAGTGTAGAGCAGCCTTTCTCAACCAGGGTGCCCAGGCAATCTTTAGCTACAGGGTGGCTTGAGGTTTCTTCAGGGGTGCCTTGGCAAAATGTCTAAAAATTGTCAAAAAATTGTATACAAGCTAGTGGGTGGAACAAGCCTGCCTTTTAGTTACACAAATCCACAGGGTTTCATTGTGCACCATTATGACCTAGCTGCCGGTGTTCTGACAACCAATGACATCATCTGTTGATAAGGAGGATGTCAGCTGTCAGCACAGCATCCTAGTTTGACCCTCCCCTGCCCCTCTCCATCAGTGCTGGGTTCACATTAGCTCAGTGATGGATAAAAACTGAGGGAGAAGAGAAACACTGGGATACTAGTCAGTACCAGTGTGCAAAAGTGTATTTGCTTTGGAAGAATAAATCACCTCTAATGTTGGGTGTCCTACATGTGTGGATGTTGCTGTGTTATATAAAACTATTAGAATAGTTTTTCACATTTTAGAAATGGGCGCCCGTTTAAAATTATGGACAGTCTTGAGGCACCCCATTTTAGAATGGGGTGCCTCAAGATTGTCCATAATTTGAAAATGGCCCGGGACTGTCAATTTTAAAGGGTGCCTCGGGACTGTCAATAATTGTAAAGGGTTCCTTGACTGAAAAAAGGTTGAGAAACACTGGTGTGTAGTGACTGATCATTCTATACAATCGTTACTCCCATTTCCTGACACAGACTTGACCAATAGAGGGCACGTCTAAAAGTGTGAATATAAAATGCAATCATTAAAAAGCACGCAAATACACAAAAATAAAAATTGTATTTCTTGAAAACATACAAAAGTTTAATTTTAAATACATGAACAAAAGAAATGACTGGTGCATAACGAGATTCCAGTGTAAAGGTTAACGTTCACACATGTAAGCCCATTAACACGGCACAGAAACTCAAGAAACTGGCCACAGGCATGCAAAATGTTTGGAGGAAGAGCTCCTCTTGTTATAATAACCAATCACATTCTTCCTTTGCTTCCAGCATACGGTAGGTAAGCAGCAAGTACTGTGTATTCTTCAGGCACTTTGATATACAAAGGTCTGAATCATTTCCGAATTACTGTAGTTTAAAGAAGTCCAAACAACTACCATGAACATGAGCCTAGAATCCATCAGACTTCCTGACCGCACCAGTGACAGCTAAAATACAGTATGCTGCTAGCAATGACACAGCACTGTACTAGCAACATGAAACATATAGCAATAAGGCATACCATTGCGTGCACTTGGGCTATATCAACGCAGTAGACCAGAAA